GTTTGGACAAAAAATCGTCTAAAATTACATACTTTAAGATTCTAAAGGTCAAAATCCCAAAATTACATTTTTAACTTAACTTATGTGCTTCTTTCAGTTTTTGAGGAAAAACAATTTCTTTTAAACACACTAAACTAAAAGAGCACAATTTTGTATTTGAACCAAAACCAGTTTTTTTAAATTGCACGTCTTTTTCCGCATCCAACGAGTGGTCATGTACGCTGGGGAACCGAACGGTTCCGGAGTTATGATCGATTGAAGTTTCCGCTTTAATTTTCCGACCGATTTTCGCGCGCAAAAAGGTCGGATTTGACTGTTATTAAATCAGATTTAATGTTCAAACTGAGCAAAATGCATTATTAGGGACTCTTGAGGATAGCTGAGTTCAGAAATTACAGATACTTCCAAAAATTTCACGTTTTTAAAATTACAGCTCCGTACAGGACCACTGAGCGGCCAGTCGGCGCTCTGTGGGCCTCTAAAATAGCGCTACGGAGCTGTAGTTTTAAAAACGTGAATTTTTTGGAAGTATCTGTAATTTCTGAACTCAGCGACCCTCAAGAGTCCCTAATAATGCATTTTGCTCAGTTTGAACATTCAATCTGATTTAAAAACAGTCAAATCCGACCTTTTTGAGCGCGAAAATCGGTCGGCGCGCGTTGAGAGGAAACTTCAATCGATCATAACTCCGGAACCGTTCGGTTCTCCAGCTTACATGACCACTCGTTGGATGCGGAAAAAGACGTGCAATTTGAAAAACTGGTTTTGGTTCGAATACAAAATTGTGCTCTTTCAGTTTAGTGTGTTTAAAAGAAATTGTTTTCCCTCAAAAACTGAAAAAAGCACATAAGTTAATTATAAAAATGTAATTTTGGGATTTTGACCTTTAGAATCTTAAAGTATGCAATTTTAGACGATTTTTTGTCCAAACCGGGCCTGAAGATCTTATATCGTGCGAAAGATTCGAGGTTCACAGGTTTTGACTGACTTCCATCCCCCCTAGCGCCCCCCAAAATTTTTTGGGGGTCTGAAAATTTGGGGAAAGAAGCGCTCCAGTATCAGTAACTGATAGACGAAGTTTGAATAAGTTTTAGTGGGGGGGGGCGCGAAAAATGTCGTTTTTGCATACGGCTCTTTATATGAAAAATAAATGTTTCCATAATTTCTTTCCCCGATTTCCGCAAGAACCTCGTGAAGCGCATTTTGCCCGTTTCCGTTGTCCATATCAGTAAATGGACAAGTACCCGGAGTAAATCTGTGCTGTTCGACACAAATATCCCTGGGACACAGAAAAATTAGAAGGCAACACGCCGACTGCATCAATATCATTGATGTTTGGTGTATTTGAAATCCATTTCGGAAGAGACAAGGGTTTCTTGAACAAGTCAATGGTGCATTTAAAAATGCACTGAACATGTGACAACTCTGCGAAGGGCTTGTATTGAGAAGGAAGACTATCCCATGTAGCAGTGATCGCGATAAATTGCGAATTAATCGGAGAATGTATCGCGATTTTATCGACGTCGATTTATTGCAATAATATCGGATATAAAATATCGCGATAAATTGCGATTTCATCGCATTAAATTGCAATTAAATCGCGATTCTATCGACGGCGATTTATTGCGATAAATTGCGATTTCATCCCATTAAATTGCAATAAAATTTCGATTTCATTGAACGAGATGAAACGAAAATTGAGCCCTACACTTAAAAATTATTCATGTTCTCCTTGTACTGGGAGAATAGCGCGGATCGCTTGCCGGACAGCGGCTCAGCGAGGAGGAAAAGTTGTGACGTCATGGGTTAGATGTTGCTCTTGTTTCCCGTGTGAACCGCGGCCAGCCCTAGATTGATCAGCACTTTTCGTGAGATGCTATTGGCGTAAAGGGGTAGGACGCGCGGGACGTAGGAAGCGGCGGTGCACGGTGACGCGCGTTTTCCGGAAAATTTCTAAACTCAGTCGCTCATGTTCGCCGGGATGGGAAATGTCGCGATTCCGTGTAGTGTCCAGGTGCACGTAAAATTCCATCCCTGAGTCCTCAAAGTGTTTTTCGGCGGTGTCGAATCAACCTCCGTAGACCTCTGGAATAGAGGATCAGCACATTAGAGTCGTCCGACCGTTGCCCCCGCCAAGTCATTGAGTGCGGTTCAACCCTTCCGTCAACGTTTTGAGTGAAAATTCGTCAGCAGCCTCCGCGAGACCCCCGGCATAGAGGATCAGCACATTAGAGTCGTCCGACCGTTGCCCCCGCCAAGTCCTGGTGTGCAAGCTGTAGTTTTTGTCTAGTTTTGAGTTTCGGTTGTTTTGGAGAGTTTTTGGAAGTTTGGAAGATTTTGAAGGAGATTTAGTTGTGTTTTTCGGTTTCGTTGTTCTGAAACTTGATTCGTGTATGCTGTCTATGATTATTAAATCAATCAATCATTCCTTTAATCAACCAATTGTTGTCTTGTCATCATTCAACCATGTGAGCTATCCGTGGCTCCTAAAATTCGCGGATTGGTGGAGACCTCGCCTTTTAGGCGCCCCCGAAATTATTCACGCTCTTTACGCCCCCAGAGCGAGCCCGTGTCAAGTGCGTTGCCGGGCGAGTTTTAGCCCTTTCAGAGATTTTGCAGAGATAAAATTGAAATTTCTAATCAACACCCAATAACGTATGAATGACGCTTATGAAAGATGTTCTCGAGCGGAGGTGTGAGAACGACTCGATACGAGGTTGGGCGTGGGGTTTGAATGGTACGCCCACACTGAGAAAAAATTCTCGGCGTTTTTACCAAGGTCCGTTGGTAACTTTACCATCTCAATTTTTTTTACCAATTATTGGTAATGCTACCAAGGGAGACTGGTAAGCTTACCTAAAAACCGGTATTTTTACTGGTTTTTTCAGGTAGGAATATGTACCACTTTTATTCGTAATCAATTTCCGGTAACTTTACCATTTTATCTCGGTAATTATACCAAAGTCGATAAAAACTGTTGGCGTTTTTACCAAGATCGGTAACTTTGCCATCTCACTATTATTGGTAATTTTACCGAGACAGAATTATGAGATTACCAATAGAACCTCATTTTACCAACCGTATTTAAAGGTATGAAATAAAATACAGAGGAGGGAAAATAAAATAAAAAAAAAAAAAAAATCAAATGAAAACTCTGTGTCAGTCAACGCAATGACAAAAGTTGTCAGGTTGCGAAGCGCCGATCCATGCATAAGAGGCCTCAATTCGCACCCGTGAATCATATAGCGGCCATAGCCCAGTGGAAAAGTGCTGGCCTACCATCGTGGCGACTGGGGTTCGAATCCCCGCGGAGGCTCCGGAGATTTTACGCTCGTCTTCGTCAAAGGACCTGACGGCTGAACCTTACGGCATGCAATCGGCTAATAGCGTGGACTCCTTTTTTTTGGCGATTTTATCGGTGATAAAATCGCTAGGATCATCAGCATCTGAGCGATTATCCTCGCGATAAAATTGCAATAAAATCGCGAAAAGATCGAGGATAATCGCTCAGATGTTGATGATCCTAGCAATTTTATCGCCGATAAAATCGAGGATAATCGCGATTTTATCGCCGATAAAATCGCGATTTCTCCGTTGAAAAATGCTACTTGGGATGTTTTCCGGAAAACAAAAAGAGTGCACCGCGAATTGGAGGATTATTAAATGGATTTCAAAATTAATAAGGCCACAAAGGCAAGAATAAGAAAATCGTCTTTGAGCATATCTATGGATCAACACATACAATAATAAGACGCCAACCGAACGTTTCCGACTTTCTCCGAATATATACTGAAAGTTCGGCGCGAATAACCGAAATGATCGGTTTCCGTGACATTAAAAGTTCGGTAAAACCTTACCGAACTCGGTTGGGCGTGTGTCCCATAACGCCGTAATGCTGTTCGATTCACAAAACCAAATTGCCAGGTTCATGCCACCAGGTCTAAAAGGTTTGTGCCACCGAACAACCATATACCGAAGGGTTCGGTGAAAATCACCGAACTTTTTTTTTCAGTGCAATGATATCAGTATGTTCCCATGATGGGACCAAGAGATACCAAACTTTACATCAACTCTTTATCATGATAGCAAGAAAGTCCAAATTGATATCATCATGTTACCATATTTGTGCAATGTTGTTAACAACATTTTTTTTAAAATCATGTTTATATCATATTGGGACTTGTCATATTGCTAGCATGTTGGTCTTTTACCCCAAGTTGATATCACGTTGATACCATGTTGACATCATCATGATGACATCATCATGATGACATCATCATGATACCGACATGGGCGTTTTGGACCCTGTTGGTAACAACATGGTCTCAACATGTTACCAACATGGTCATTTTTAGCAGGGTACTTTCTGGACGACCCTCCCTTGTGTCTAAACACTGATAAATGATACCTATGATCCACCAAGTTGCAGTGATCGTGACAAATAGTGATTTTATCAGTTGATTGACGCGATTATATCGGTGGCAATTCATTGCGATACTGTCGAAAAAAAAATTGTGATATATGGCGATTCAATCGCTATGCATCGCAATTTTCGGTTCGATAGAATCGCGATCAATTCTTGCCGATTAAATCGAGATTAAATCGCCATAAATAGCGATTTTTATTTTAATAACATCTCGATAAATTTCTGGGCGATAAAATCGCGATTTTATTGCAACAAGATCGAGGATAATCGCTCAGATGGTGATAATCCTACCGATTTTATCGTTTGTCGCCGATAAAATCGCAATATATCGCGATTTGGGGAGCTCTTCATTTTCTTGGTGAACGATCTACACAACTATTCATTATGCAATCCAGCAGATGTTAGATTTCTTTTAAGAAAAGACAGATAGCATGATTTAAATAAGGATAAAGAGAATGAGATACTTGATGGGAAGAATTAGAACTTCCTTTTCGTATCTGGGGTTTTTTAAAAGAAATATTTGAAATAAAGTACATTTTTTGGGTTCACCTTTCAAATATGATTTGATTTTCAGTGGATCCTCTGTTGAATGGAACTTCTCATCATCACTATGGAGCAATTCCTCGACCAATTGAAAATGATTTGAACTTTTCCTCTGAAGAAAGTGATGGGAGTGCTTCCTCCTCGCGTGCAAGTCATAATTCACCATCAACTACAAAGAGAAAAGCTGAAAAGGTAGAGAATAAACTTACCTATCTTCATGTTAAAAAAGAAATGAAAAAACACGTTTGGGAGGTTTATCAGAAACTTAGATCATGGTTTTGTCCATTTGCCATGGTGGTTGGTATGTTTCTCTTCCAAAGAGGCAAAACTTACTTGCAAATCTAAATCCGAATTCCAAGTCCTAAAGTATAATTTTTTTCAAAAAAAAAAAAAAGTTGCAACAAGTTTGCCAAAATGTGCGATAATGTTTATCTGAAAGTTTCAATGATGTTGAATTTTTAAGACAACATGTATGATAAGGACCGAAAAAGTCAATGATGGTGTCGGAAGAGAAGTTGCAACATGTCTTATTAAGTTTTGCTCGCATATCGCAACCTTACTACTGCAACATTGCTTTGAACTTTACGAAAGTTTCGAATTATTGCCAACGCTGCCAAGTTTACGATAATATGAAATTTCTCCACCATTTCTAAAATTCAGGAATATTTTATTTTTTACCAAAATGAGCAAAATTAATGAAACTCTAAATTTTAGTAAAGTTGCCTGATTTACGAAAATACATTTTTTAATCAACAACGCTCAATTTCTCGGAAATTTCCAAAACTTGAAAATATTCCTAAATTTTATAGACATTCGGAATTGTTCAAAAGTTGCTAAATTCTTAAAGATACTCACTAAATTTTTCCTTTATTACTTCTCAGTTAGCAGCTTAATATTCTGTAAACACTCTGATAATATTTCGATGCAAATTCAAAATGTTCTGACAGTGCTGTGAGAACATTCCGGAATATTCTCACAACATTCTCAGAGCATTTTCGTGAGACAAAGGGAAATCCCCAGAGTATTCTGGGGATATTTGAAAATCCCCAAAATATTATGTGGACATTCAAGCGATATTTGAAAAAAATGCTTGAAAAGTTCATAGTTCATTTTTGGGATGACCTCAGGATATTCGTAAAATCCCCAAAATATTCACCGGATATCTTGTGGACATTGTCATAAAAGTGATATTAGTCCCTCCCTCCCTTTCCAGCAGTGGATGAAATGAGTCCTAAATTAACTCCATCGAGGACATTGAAAGAAAATTCGCCATGAAGTCGCGAACATTCCCAGCTTTCTTGAGAACAGTACGCATAAAACATTATGAAAAAACTGAAAACAATTGATTTGTTCGGATTTAAACAGATCAATTGATTTTAGTTTTTTCATCTACTCACGAATAGTTGAAAAATCAGCGACTTTTTGTTCAATTGTGTGTGTTTTAAGTACCTACTATAGTCAGGAAAAGTAGAAAACTTATTTCCACGAGCTGGAAACGTTGGATGGTCCAATGTAAATTTTCTTTCAACGTCCTCAAGGAAGTTAATTCAGGGCTCATTTTATCCACTGCTAAAAGGGGAAGAGATATGTTTTTTTGTTGTCCTGAAGGAAAGTAGAAAAAAACATGCGTATGATCAGAGACCACTAGAATGGATAATAAATGACAGGTGTTTCCTTTCAATGTCCTAAATTTTACGACGAGAATTAGTCATTAAAAACAACATTCAAAGCCACGAAAAGTTAGTTTCTCAAAATGTTGCAATTCCTTTATGTTGCATGGCATTGCAATTTGACACCTATTTGTATGGCTGTACCTGACTCATTTTATCCATAAAAAGTTGGGTATAAAATTTTTCAGAGGGATTCAAAAGGTCATTATTTAAATACGTGATACAAAACTGAACTACTCAACCAGCTTGCCTTGAAAAAGACATGGTTTTAGCTATTAAAAGAGAATATTTGTATGAATCCTTTTTTACACTTGATATGCATTGGAACCTATCCCAATGAAAATAAACAGAAAGTACAATTGGAAAAACATACGTTGAAACCAAAATATCAAGAACAAAAGCAGCTTTATTCATAATCAGTATTAAAAATGTAGTAGTAATCATAGAAACAAAATATATAACTTATAGGTAATTAAATTGTTTTTGAAAATATTTGAAACACTCTTAAAAATAATGAAATTTGGTACAAAGCAGCAGACAAACATTTATGAGAAATTATTTCTTGTTGGGATTTATCAGTCTCAATTCATCGTAATCACAGCCAAAGATACCTCTTGACCATCGGGAGTTCATCACATTTACGATTGCCATTGCCATTTTTGTTGCCATTGTGATTGAACCAACAGGAACGAAGAAAGATATGGAAAACAAAGGGTTTGTCCTCTCTGAAAATGAAAAGAAAATGAAATAGTTAAATAAGTTACACGCCGGGCCATTTTCTTCTTTCGGATCGAATTCCTTGATTGGATTTAGCCTCAGACATTGATCTTAATTGTAAACACTATATCAATTGGTACCTAGAGAAGAAAAAAACATTTGACCATCGGTATGATTATTAGGCACATGGTAAAGCTGCGGAGAACTAGATCCAGCCCTCCACAGCAAATACAGGAAAAGGCATGCCTTTCCTACCTTCAAATTTGTGTAGTCCTGCGGCTTCGCCAAGTTTGAATACAAGTTTTCTGCAAAACTAGCTGTGCAAGATCTCAAATCTGACGCCCGTGTTCACTCCTACATGCAGACGATTTTAGTGCTAAGTGTAAAATTTGGGCAGTAAGCAGTACACTGTCTTAGCCTGACACTCCCAAGTAGCATTTTGCAACGAAAAAATTGCAATTTAAATGAAATAAAATTTCCCGATGATTTCAACTTTCTTGCAAGAAAATTGCAATTATTTTACAACATCTGACCCCCTCATTGTAAAAAAGTTGCAATTTTTTTTTTTGCAAAGAAATTTCAATATTGACGACCTTTAAATTTCAACCCCTAAATTTTCCGGGGAAATTATAATAATTCGAACCCATGCTTACCTAATGTCCTACGACGTTTAG